ACAAAGGCGTTTCCAACAAAGAGTGTTACTACGGCAAGGTGTGAAGCACAGGTGGAGAAGGCTTTGCGCCTGCCGATCTTGGAGCGGATCTGCAAAATGGAGGACAAAATGTAGAAATAGGACAGGATGATGAGCACAAGAGGGACAAGACCCACAAAGGTGCCAATGATGTGAGTGACCAACTCATTGATGGACGTATCACTGCAAGCAATCTTCAGTAATGGGGGACCATCACAAAAGATATGAGGAATCTGGTGGTTTCCACAAAACTCCAACCTGGAGGCCAGAGCAATGTAAATCGTTGAGTCCAGGAAGCCCCAGAGCCAGATGGCCAGAGATAGCTGGATGCACAACTCTCCCCTCATCAGGTGGGCATAGTGCAAAGGTTGGCAGATGGCAGCATAACGGTCATAAGCCATGACGGCCAGCAATGCTGGCTCACATCCTGCAAAGCCGATCAGGAAGAAGGCTTGTGCCAGGCATTGGTTGTAGGAAGTGGTGTGATGTTGGCGTAGGAGGTTCACCAGGATCTTTGGTACAACCACAGAAGAAAGGCAAATATCCAAGCAGGAGAGCTGGCTGAGGAAGAAGTACATGGGGGTGTGAAGGCAGGAATCCAGGAGAACCAGGGTTATGATCATGAAGTTGCCCATCAGCGTGGCCAAATAGGCAGCCAGGAACACCAAGAAAAGGTGAACCTGGTGGCTCAAAAGGCTGGAAAAGCCCAGGAGGATGAATTCTGTCCCTTCGGTTTTGTTCTGTGAATCCATGAGGAAGAAAGGGGGCAGCTGGGAAGAGAGAGAAACGCATGGAAGAAGCACAATGAGAAAGTGATTAGTTGAGCTTTCAATCTGTGCAGAATGAAATTTGAGGGATCTCTTATACCTGAAGATAGTCTATATTAAAGGTCAAACATATACAGGTGGATATTTTGGGACCTACCTTCCTTCCTTCATTGCCTTCCTTCCTTCCTGCCCTTTACTTCCTGCCCTTTCCTTCCCTCTTGATTCTTGGGATTTTTGTTATGCTGAGAAATTCCAAGGAACATCCTTTCCAAGCTTGGAATCAGAACCATTTTGCACAGCCAATGTCCTTTCCAACTCTATTATTCTGTTATTTTGAATTAGAATTAGCACCAGAGTGAGATTAGCAGCAGGGTGATGTCAAGGAAACAGTCAGTCCACTAAAGAAAGAAGATGGCGAGGAAGTGACAGGCAGTAGAGAGAAAGCAGAGCTGCTCAACTCATCCTTTGCATCAGTCTTCACACAAAAAGAAACTAT